ATTTACTCGTATTTACAAGTATTGTTGTGCAAATGAAGATGGATTCAAAATTACATGCCCAATACTGGCCCTCGTTCTGCAAGACGGCTAAACGTAAAATGGTTCAATACACAAAAGGCTTATCTACGTCTAGATTGTTAGTTTGCAGTAAATAGCGTTAAGGCACTCCTGAGAAGAGCTCTTACAAGGGAGGGTCGCAACGGGCCCGATTATCAGAGGATGCATATGGAGCGCTAATTTCGAATCTGCCTTCCACATCTGCAGGACACATCTGGGAAAAAATCATGTAGAAAAGATTATATCCCAAATTCAGGAGTTTAGATTTCAGGAGTTCCAGGAATTGAGATACTGGAGCTTTTGCAGCGATTCCCACATCGGAGCAGCATAGCAGCAGCCAGTTAGATGCCCAATTATGTGCCAACTGGGACCTCAATCAAAATTACACTAGTCATGATGCCTTTAAAGGTAAAGATCATTTTAAGCGGTCGATTTACGTCAAGTTTGCAGCTTAATTGCTTACGAAGTTGCTTATGCAAAATTAACGTTGATGAAACAAAATCATTTCCGGCCGAATTTCTTGGTTTTGAGATGTTAGGGCCTCCCATTCTTGGTCTCATAATAACACTTACATGGAACTCTTCCAAGATTGAAACTCTTCCATAGATTTGAAACATTCTTAAGGCCAATTATCGGCATTTATGCAAGCAGAAAATCATTTTGGTACGTTCTATCTCCGCAAGGACAGAAAATGAAAGCAAAGCTGATTTGAAAAGTTTAGAGTGGTTTGAAGATTTCAAATCTCACGACAATGTTCTGCCTTATCATGACATTTTTGAGTATTTATATGGAAAAAAGTAAGTAAACGAACGAAGAGCAGGATCATGAAGGTCAAATGATGATTATAGAATTCCAATCATTTGTTAGGAAATATGGTAAATAACAAGAAGATAGATATCTGAAAGATTTTTTTTAGTACTTTGGCAGTGGCAAGTGCTTTTTAATTCCTGCTCCCACGTAAGGCTCAATTGTTTCCCATGCAGAACCAGAATTCGAAAAACTCCAGCAGTCGGTCTTTTGTCCTTTGAACTTCGTGGCAAGCTCCAGGTTAATCTTGAAGTACTTTTTTATTTGTTTTCCTTTGCTTATATACTCCGATGGGATTTTTATTTTGAGCTTCTGGTAGCAAGGCTGAACAGCATTCGTATAATCTCATAATCTGATATTGACATTTAATTGAACATATAAAATTTTGAATCAGCAAAGACTTTACCCCCTTGTAATTGCAGTTATGATAGATGTTCAGCTGTGGATCAATTTTGGACAACTCCTTAGCAGTGCCTGAGATCGCAAACGATCCACTGTTGTCGGTTTTGACTTCGGCCAACTTTCGGTGGAAGTCTGGAAACTTGTTTAACTGAGCTCATTATGCAGCTTTGACTTACAGATTTCCTTTTCGTACAGCTCTATTTTCACTCCGGCAGCGGGTTTACGGTTACAAAGAAGTTTCCCCATTGCTGCAACTGTCTGCTTACTACCAAATC